ACATAAATTTTTTTGGGGCTTGGAATTATGAAAACTGTTACAAAATAACAAGTAATTAAACGCAAATTACTAATTCCTAAAACCGATTATGCTACTTCTACTTAAACTTCATTAGCGAGACACAAAGTATTCTAGCGATTATGAGTAGCAAACTATAATGTATTGAATATGTTTCCTTTCATATAATTTGGATTTATAGCAAGCTATAATGTATTGAATATAGACTTTATTTCTTGAGTCCCAGCTTGGTTAATATCTTTCCACTCGTGTGATTTATATTTTCTTTGTCTTTTACGTTGTTGTTGAATAGTTGATGGATCTATACTCTAGCCATCTTTCATTTTTTTTAATTCATCAATTTTAAAAATGTCTATAGAGTTTTGCTAAGTCCTATAAAAGAACATATGTTATTGCATTCTACTTCTACTGGTGAATTTTACATGATATTTTAAAAAATATCGAAACTTAACCGAACCGTACCGATACCGAAGAGAAACCGACATGATTGGGACGGTTTCTAAAAGTCTAATTTTGGTTATACATAATAGAATAACCGAAAAATTAGTATGGTACAGATTTGATAAAATAACCGACCGAACCGAACCATTAACACCTCTAGGTATGAGGATGGAGTTTGGGATATTAAGGGGATTGGTAATATCTGTGTGTAAGATAAGTTGTTTTAGGCATTCGAGTGGATTAATTTCAAATGTAGGAAGTTCATCAATTATCGGAAGCATGTGAAAATCACACCAGATGTGCGCAAATGCCGGGCATTCTAGAAGGAGATGTTGAATTGTTTCCATATTAGTATGGCATTGCGTATAAGTGGCATTATTGAGAATGCCAATGCGGTGATAGTATGCCGCAGTGGGTAAGCGTTGGTGGCCGCAAAGCCATAGGAAATGTCTGGTTTTTGGAGGTAGTCTTAACTTCCAAATCCATTGAAAGGAGTGAGTTGCGGTTGTAGGGAGTAAGTGTTGGTAGTAAAGTTCCCATGGGATGTGAGGGTTCAAGTGTACGAATCAAGGGACGAGGTATAGGAGGGGAAATGAACATTTAGAATATGCCGGAGTATTGAGGTTGGTAGTTCAACGGGGAGTAAGGCAAAATGCCAGTGGTTGTTAGAGAGATATGTTGAGATAGTATTGCGTGCTACATGTTGAGGAAGGGGCCCTATTATGGAAGAACAAAGAGGTCTGGTAGTTGGTAGCCAGTTGTCATGCCAAAAGTTGATAAGATTTCCATTTCCAATTGACTATTGTATTCCCTGTTGGTAGAGGTGCTATCCAAGAATTAAATTTTCCCAAATGAAAGAACCGGTTGTGGTAATATTCATGCGATGGTAAAAAAGAATTATGAAGGAGTACGGTGGCCCACAAAGAATGGGGTTTTGTGAGGAGTCACCAAGTTTGGCTTGAGATTAGCGACTTAATTTTTAGGTGAATTTGTTGAATTCCTAGTCCGCCCTGAGGTTTTGGGGTGATAATGGTTTTCCATTTTAAAAGTTAGACTTTCTTCTTATTTGGAGTAGCACCCTACAGAAAATTGCATTGAAAGCGTTCTAATTGATTTACAATGTATTGAGTGAGTGTAATGCATCGCATTACATGATTGGATAAACTATTACGAGAGGAATTGATAAGAGTGGTATGTCCCGCCATACTGAGGAAATTTGTTTTTCACCTCGCAAGCTTGATTTTAAAGTTATCGATAAGGAATTGAAAGTCACCTTTGGAGGGACGTGATGTGAAGGTGGGAAATCCGAGGTATTTTTCAAAGGAAGTACCTTCTTGTATTGGTAAATAAGAAAGAATAAAATGTTTATCCTGGCTGGAGCAATTCTCTGAGAAAAAAATCTTAGGTGTTTCGAAATTTATCTTCTGACCTTAGGCTTTATTAAATTCGTTAAGGATATCAATGATGGCGTGGCAACTGATGTGGTGAAGGTAAGAATGATGTCATCAACGAAGAATAAATGGGATAATGGTGGCCCATTACGCGATAAGCGGATAGGTTGCCAGATTTGGCAATCGGCTGATTGCTCTATTTTCCTAGTGAGCATTTTCATACATGATACAAAATAAGTAAGGAGAGGGTAGGTCTCCCTGCCGAAGTTCATAGGATGGGTAAAAGGGAGGGCTTCGTGAGCCATTTATGAGGATTGATAGGGAGGTAGTGATGATACAAAACATGATTAATTTGATTAGTGGTGATGTAAAGTTAAAGAATTGAAGAGCTTGACGAACAAAACACCATTCTATACGATCAAAAGCTTTTTCAAGATCTTGTTTCAGTAGCATGTAACTAGTTTTTCCTTTTTTGCGTTTGAAGTGTGAAAGAATTTATTGTACAATGATGGCATTATCTATCGCTCTACGGTTTGACTAAAGGCTGGATTGCGTAGGGCTAATAATTGCTGACATTAAAGGCTTAGTATGTTGAACTATTATTTTAGTGATAATTTTATAGATAGTTGAACATAGTTCAATCGGGCAGAATTAAGTAATCATGGAGGCATTGCGAACTTTGAGATTAAGCAACCATATGTTTGATTGATAAAAGTAGGAATTTTGTGGTCCTGAAATATTTGTTTGCAGAAAGCAGTTACCTTAGGGCACACCTCATGCCAATAATATTGGTAAAAGTAAGGGTTTAGGCCATCAGACAAGTACTTTGAAGGGTTTAAGGGACTTAACGGTGGAGATGATTTCGAGATCATTGGCAAGTTTGACAAGATTCGAGCTTTCGGTCGGAGTAATGGTGGTTGAGGGGGAAAAGGTGTGGGAAATTTAGGAGTGAGGTGAGTCAGTGGCAAAGAGCTGTGTGAAATAAGTAAGTATGGTATTTTGTATCTGGGTCCTCAAAACACCAGTTGTGTGCTTTGTCTTTTAAGGTTGTGATATAGTTTCGGCGATGGCGTTGTAAAGTGGATAAATGAAATAATTTTGTATTAGCATCGCGGTCTTGTAACCAGTGGACACGTGATTTAAGTTTCCAAAATTCTTCTTCTAAGCGAAGAATGTCACTGAAATCTTTCAGAAGAGTAACTTCAAGGTTTTAGAGAAAAGAACTGGTAGGATGATTGATGTATAGTATATGTATAATCCTCATATGTGATATGTCTATAATTATATGTAATCAATGTATAATCTATGTTTTCCGGCTAAGAAAATAGTAAATTTGACCAGCTATTCGTGTAAAAATCCCTTTCTTTTTTGGGAAATAAAGGCTATTACATTAAAACCTTAAGAATAGTCATTACATAACCTAAAGGAGTGCCATTAAGGACATTAAAGTTTTTAATCCTAGTTAAATTATTATGAACACATTCTGATATTCTTTTAACCAAAACTCATTCCTTATATGTCTGCTAAGACGGCTACCTCAAGTTGGAACTAGTAGATAGATCACAGAACTAGCATTTGGCCAAGCAAGCTATCCTTCACTTGTATCGAGTCTCCTTCCCATAAATTATGCAATAACATAGGTTCCCCAACTTGAGCATTAACCACCGGCAATTCTTTATAATCGAGTTTTTCCTCACTTGATTTTGTGACATTTTCATCATCGCCTAAAAGTTTTGACACAATATAATTTTTATAGGTCCCGTCTTACCCAAAATAAAATTTATCACATGATAGTAGAAAATAACTTATAAACTATATAAGTGCTCCAACAACAACAACAACCCAATGAAGTTTCACAAGTGAAGCCTGGGGATGGTAGTATATACGTAGGCTTACCCCTACACTGGGAAGGTAGAGAAGCTATTTCCGATAGACCGTCGGCTCGAGAAAGATTAAAAAAATTATAGAAACAAATAATATCAACAAATAGGACCAGAAAGATAGTGACAACAATCTCAAAGCCAGAAAAATAGATGGAAGGAAGCAATATCAACAACAAGCAGTAACAACAACAAGATACTAAGAGATCAAAGCGAAAAATAATTGGAAAATAGCATAAAATACTAGCAATCTAAAACAAAAAAAACTACCATACTAAACTTACTACCTCGGTACCGAACATAACTATGCTCGCCTACTTACTAACCTTTTATCCTAATTTTTGACCTTCACACCCTCCTATAAAGGGCCATATCCTCGGTAAGTTGCAATCGTGCTACGTCCTACATGATCACCTTTACCTAATACTTCTTAGACCTCCTTAGACCTCTTCGTATACCCATCAAAGCCATCCGCTTGCACCTTCTTACTGGGACATATGAGCTTCTCCCCTGCACATGCCCAAACCATCTCATTATCGTTTCTCGTATCTTTTTCTCTACGGGAGCCACACCCACCTTTAATAGGATATCTTTATTCCTAATCTTATCCAACATTGTATGCCCGTATATCCATCTCAACATCTTTATCTTTACTGTTTTAATCTTCTCGATATAGGAGTTCTTGATTGGCCAATATTCTGCTCTATACAATATAGTCGATCTAACCACCATTCTATAGAACCTACCTTTAAGTTTTGGTGGTATATTTTTATCACATAAGATGCCAAAAAGCTAGCCTCCATTTCATCCACCCTGCTCCGACAATGTGTGACATCCCCATCAATCTTCTCATTCCCTTGGATAAAAGATCCAAGATACTTGTAACTTTCTCTCTTAGTTATGACTTATGAGTCAAGCCTCTCGTACATGTTTGTTTCTTCCGTTGCGTCACTAAACTTGCACTCCAAATACTCTACATTTGTCCTGCTCAACTTGAAACCTTTAGACATAAAGGGTCTGTTTCCAACCCTTAAGCTTTTCGTTAACACCACCTCGTGTCTCATCAATCAGTATAATATCATCTGCGAACGACATACATAATGGTACCTCCCCTAGAATGTGGCACGTCAGTGTGTTCATTGGCAAGAAAAATAAAACGGGCTAAGCACAGATCCTTGGTGTAATCCCATCACAACCAAAAAGTAATCTGAGTCTCCTCCCACTGTCTTCATCTGAGTCTTAGCTTCATCGTATATGTCCTTTGATCAACCTAATTCGCTACAGGAACACCCATAGCCTCTAAACATCTCCAAATAACCTCTCTTGATACTTTATCATACGCTTTCTCTAGTTCAATAAACATCATATGCAAATCATTCTTCCTCCTCGTAAACAGTTTCACCAACCTCCTAACAAGGTGGATAGCTTTAGTAGTCAAATGTCCCGGAATAAATCCGAACTGGTTCTCAAAAATAGACATAGTCTTTGTTACCCTAACTTTCACTACCCTCTCCCAAACTTTCGTAGTATGAATAAACAACTTGATGCCCCTATAGCTGTTATAATTTTGTATATCACCTTTGTTCTTGTACAACAAAATTATTGTACTCCACCTCTGCTCTTTTGGCATCTTCTTTATCCTAAAAATAATGTAAACAACCCAGTGAGTCATTCCAATCTAGCCCTGCCTACATACTTCCAAAATTCCATCGAAAATTCATCTGACCCGGTCTCTCTGCCCTGCTCATCTTACGCATAGCCCCCTTAACATCTAGAATTTTATGCGCCTACAATACCCAAAATCTCGACGATTCTCGAAGAGTTCCAAATCACCCAGCACAACGTTCATGTACTCCTCTTCATTCAAGAGTTTATGGAAGTATGTTTTTCATTTTTGTTTAACCTGTGCCTCTTTCATTATAAATTTACCTTCCCCGTCTTTGATGCATCTCACTTGGTCTAGATCAAAGCTCTTCATTTCTCTCACCTTTGTCAGCCTAAATAGATTCTTGTCCTCGCATTTGTCCCCAAGTTCTTCATACAAATGACCAAATGCAACAGTCTTAGCCTCGGAGACCACCAACTTCGCTTCCTTCTTAGCCTTCTTGTACCACTCTCTATTCATCTTCTTTTCCTCCCCGGATTTGCTCTCCGCAAACTTCAAAACTTGGCTTCTACTTAATCTATTCATTGCACCACCAGTCCTTTTGTAGCTGCCAGAATAACCCTTTGAGACCCCTAACACATCACTTGTCGTTTTCCTAATGCAGTTCGCCATAATGGTCGATATATTACCCGTATTCCCATTACTCCTCCAGGCCCCCGCGACCAACAACTTCTCCCTCAATTCCTGAGCTTTGTCCTTAGTCAAGACTCCCCGCTAATCTTCGCTCAATCCCTCACAATCCTCTTATTCCTTTTTTTTCACGATCTTCAAGTCCATAACCAAAAGCCTATGCTGGGTGACCGGCTCCGAATTGCCTAAAATTATGCGGACCCATAAAAATTGACCTAATGAACAATAGTCATTGCTTCCCCATGACCGTTCCTCATTTTTTGGCATTTTAGGACTATAAAATTGGAATTAAAAATGATTTCTAGATTTTTATGTGCTATAGTCCATGTCATCTACATGAATTCTAGTATTCGGCTCCGAATCGCAAAAAAAATTTCTGAGCCCATCAGAAAAGACCTTATGAATAATAGACATTGATTCGCCAAATCGTTTCTCATTTTTTTGGCATTTTAGGGACATAAAATAGGAATTTAGGATGATTTTCAGATATTCGTGTACTAGTCCACACCATCTGCATGTATTCCAATGACCGGCTACGAATCACCTAAACTTTTGCAGGCCATTAGAAACTACCTAATAAAAAATAGTCATCGCTTCGACATAAACACTCCTCATTTTTTGTCATTTTAGATCCAAAAAATCGAAATTTGGGTTGAAATCTAAATTTTTGTGTGCTCCACGCTATTTGTACTAATACGGGTTGTCGGATTCAAAACGCCTAAAATTTTGCGAGCACATAAAAAATGACCTAATAAACAATAGTCATGGCTTCACCATGATCGTTTTCTCATGTTTTGGCATTTTAGGGCCCAAAAACAGGCATTTGGGTCAATAATAAATTTTCGTGTGCGCTTTCTGCATGAATCCGGACTACCGGATTTGAATCGCCTAAAATTTTGCAAGGCCATAAAATGACTTAAGAAACAAAAATCATGGATTTGGCATGATCATTCTTTATTTTTGGCATTTTAGGACCAAAAAACTTGAATTCGGGCAATTTTCAAATTTTCGTACACTAGTCCATGCCATCTGTATGAATTCGTGCTACCGGATCCGAATCACCTAAAATTTTGCGAGGCCATCGAAAATGACCTAATGAAGAATAGTCATGTATTCGGCATGAGCGTTTCTCATTTGTTAGCATTTCAAAATACTGGACTTCAGGTCGCTTTTCAAATTTTTGTGTGCTACATGTCATCTACATGAATTCAGGATACCGGATCTGAACCGCCTAAAATTTTACGGGTCATAAAAATAACCTAATTCAATAAAAGAGGTTTCGGCATGACCGTTCCTCGTTCTTTGGCATTTTAGGGCCACAAACCTAGAATTTATGTCGATTTCCAAATTTTTGTGTGCTCTACGACATCTACATGAATCCAGAATACCGGATTCGAATCGCTTAAAATTTTGTGAAGCCATAAAAATGACCTAATGAATAATAGTCATGACTTAGGCATGACCGTTTCTCGTTTTTAGCATTTTAGGGCAAAAAGGCCAAAAACCTAGAATTTGGGCCGATTTCATAATTTTCGTGTCTTATAGACCACGCCATCTGCTTGAATCCCGATTACCTGATCCGAATTGCCTGAAATTTTGTGGGGCCATAAAAATAATCTAATGAACAATAATCATTGTTTTGGCATGATTGTTCCTCATTTTGACCAACAAATTAGAATTCGAGCTGATTTTCAAATTTTTGTGGGCTATAGTCCACACCGTCTGCATAAATCCAGGCTACCAGATTCGAATCGCTTAAAATTTGCGAGGCCATAAAAAATGACCTAATGAACAATTAGTCATGGCTTATGACCGTTCCTTATTTTATGGCATTTTAGGCCAAAAACTGGAATTCTAGCCGATTTAAAAAATTTCGTATGGTATAGTCCACGACATCTACATGAATCCGGGCTACCGGATCCCAATCACCTGAAATTTTGCGGGGCCATAAAAATAACCTAATAAATAATAGTCATCGCTTCAGCATGATTGCCCCTCGTTTTTTGCATTTTAGGACCAAAAAAATTAGCATTCGAGTCAATTTCTAAATTTTCATATGCAATAGTCCACATCATCTGCATAAATCTGGGCTACCATATTCGAGTCATTTAAAATTTTGCGGGATCATAATAAATGTCATTATGAATAATAGTCATGGTTTTGGCATGACCGTTCCTCGTTTTGTGGTATTTTAAGACCTAAAAACTAGAATTCATGCCGATTTCTAAATTTTCGTGTGCTATAGTCCACGTCATCTGCACGAATCTGGGCTTTTGGATTCGAATCGCCTAAAATTTCGCACGACCATAAAAAATGACCTAATGAACAATACTTATGGCTTCGGCATGACTGTTCATCATTTTTAGGCATTTTAGGGCCAAAAAACTAGAATTCGGGTCGATTTTCAAATTTTCGTGTGCTATAGTTCACAACATCTGCCTGAATCCGGTTTACCGGATCCGAATAGCCTAAAATTTTATGAGGCCATAAAAATGACCTAATGAATAATAGTCATGGTTTCGACATGACCTTTGTTGTTTTTTTTTTTTGCATTTTATGGCCAAAAAACTAGAATTCGGGTCGATTTTTAAATTTTTGTATGCGCAATATTCCATACATCTGCATGAATCCGGATTATCGGATCCGAGTAGGCTACAATTTCGTGGGACCATAAAAATAACCTAATGAATAATAGTCATGGTTTCGACATGACCTTTGTTGTTTTTTTTTTTTGCATTTTATGGCCAAAAAACTAGAATTCGGGTCGATTTTTAAATTTTTGTATGCGCAATATTCCATACATCTGCATGAATCCGGATTATCGGATCCGAATAGCCTACAATTTCGTGGGACCATAAAAATAATCTAATGAATAATAGTCATGGTTTCGACATGACCTTTTTTTTTTTTGCATTTTATGGCCAAAAAACTAGAATTCGGGTCGATTTTTAAATCTTTGTATGCGCAATATTCCATACATCTGCATGAATCCGGATTATCGGATCCGAATAGCCTACAATTTCGTGGGACCATAAAAATAATCTAATGAATAATAGTCATGGTTTCGACATGTCATTTTCTCATTTTTTGGCATTTTATGGTCAAAAAATGAAATTATGGTTGATTTTCAAATTTTTGTGTGCTACGCAATCTGCATGAATCCGGGCTACCGGATCCAAATCGCCTAAAATTTTGTAGAGCATAAAAAATGACCTAATGAGGAATAGTGATAGCTTAACATGACTGCTCCTCCTTTTTGTAATTTTAGGGTCAAAAAATTGGACTGCGGGTCGATTTCCAAATTTTTACACGCTATAGTCCACGTCATTTACATGAATATGGGCTACCAGATCCGAATCACCTAAAATTTTACGGGGTCATGAAAAATAATCTAATTAACAATAGTCATGACTTCGGAATGAGCGTTCCTAGTTTTTTTGGTATTTTAAGGCTAAAAAACTGGAACTCGGGCTGATTTTCAAATCTTTGTGTGCTATGCCATCTACATGAATCCGGGTCACCAGATTCGAATCGCCTAAAATTTTGCGGGGCCATAAAAATGACCTAATGAACAATAGTCATGGCTACGACATGACCGTTCCTCATTTTTTAACATTTTAGGGCCAAAAAATTAAATTCTGGTCGATTTTCAAATTTTCATGTGATATAGACAACGCCATTTGTATGAATCTAGGCTACCGAATCCGAATCGTTTAATTTTTTGGGGCCATCAAAAATGACCTAATGAACAATAGCCATGGTTTTAACATGACCGTTCCTCCTTTTTTGGTATTTTAGGACCAAAAAAATTGTAATTCGGGCCGATTTCTAAATTTTTCGTGTGTTATAATCCATGCCATGTGCATGAATTCGGGTCATCGGCTCCAAATCGCATAAAATTTTACGGGCCCATCAGAAACGACCTAATGAACAATGGTCATCACTTTGCTATGACCGTTTTTCATTTTTTTTATTACATTTTAGGAATAAAAAACTAGAATTTGAGCCGGTTTTTAATTTTTCGTGTGCTCCACGCCATCTGCATGAATCTGAGCTACCGGATCCAAATCGTCTAAAATTTTGCGGGGCCATAAAAAATATTCACGGCTTTAGCATGACCATTCCTCGATTTTTGGTATTTTAGGGTTAAGATACTGGAATTCGGGCCAATTTCAAAATTTTCATGTGCTATAATCCATGTCATGAGCATGAATTAGTATTCATTGAGAGTACACGCGCATCGCGCGTACCCTGAAACTAGTTTTATAAATATATGAGTTGAAGTATTCATATGGGAAAAGTGTAAGTTTGTTTACCGGAATGGCAAACCAGTGCAAGTTTAAGCCCTCGTTTGGCCATAAATTTTGTTAGATTTTTGTTTGGCAAATACTTATTTGTTTATAGATTTTATTTATATTCGGCAAGTTTTCAAATTCCAAAAGTCAAATTTCAAAACTGAGTTGTTTTTGGCCTAAAATATTACCGTTTGGTTTTTAATTTTTTTTCAAAATTACCATAAACTTTTGTAATTTATAAAAAGCCCACTTTCTATTATTATGACCCAACTAATTTATATCTACCCACTTTTTTCTCATTAAATTCACTTGGATTTGCCCTTTTCGATAAATAGAAGAAAATCTTCACCAAAGTTGTTGTGCCAATTTGTGGTATCCATCACAAAGATAAAATTTAAAGGTAATATGCTAAAATTTGCTAATATTTGTATAATTTTTTTTTCAGATTTGTTTCGTTTGTTTTGTATGAATTTTCTTCAGATTTGTTTCACTTATTTTGTATGAATTTTCTTTAGAGTTGTTAGGTATTTTTAATACATTTTAAAACATATGGGTATAAGTTACATTTCATGTTTTTCAAAAAAAAAAAGTAAAATATATTTTGAAAAATTATGTCCGAACAGATTTTCATCTTCAAACCAAACTTGACCTAAATCAAAATTTTAAAACAAATTTGGGAATATAAAC